GCTATTTTAAGTAACTGTTCTCTATCAGGGAGGCAAAAAACAATTCTTTTCATGGTAATATTTCCTTTTTATTTTAATAGAGCGGCTTATTTGGCAGCTACCTTTGTTTTTATTTGAAATCAATTTCAATATGGTTTTTGTTCTTCCATCAGAGGAAAGCAAAACATTTTTTATAACGAACAAAAATGTAAATGTGATCTTTAACGCTATTGTATTCTAAACGATGTAAATCTTTTGTAATTTAAATAAATTGGCATGTTTATTCAGTGCAGTTCCAACACATCTACCTGTTTTTCCGTAGATCTTTATTTCGATTTCATTCAATATGCCTCTACTTTTTCAAAAAAATAAATTTAACTTTTAACTTTTATATGAGGAACTTGAAACAGTTTATGACGGATAAATGCAACATTGCATGGTACTGCTAACAACACAAATCAAACTAATTCCAATATTCGCGTCAGTGCCTTGAATGAGGACATAGGCGTAGCTAAGGGGCGGGGAGCACAGGAGGCCTGACCCCCTCCTGATCAGAGAGTACAAAAATTAAAGAGAGAAGGGCGCCTGAATGGGATTGGTCTATACCACTATTACCTACACCTAATAAATGAAAATGGAAATGCGCAAAATGCATTTTGATGCACATATTTTCAAAAAATTACCCTACTGTGGGAGGGAAACACCCTCCCCCGTTGAGAAATTGCATTCATCGCTGTCTTTGGTCGCTTAACTCTTTTCTTCCTTCCCTGAAAAACACTGGCTTCGTACACCATTTTCACTGGTCTAAGCTAAGGAGTCACACAACTGGTCGTGTGTACACCTCAGAGCCTTCCGGCGCCACAGCCAGGGGCCATCCTCCACGTTGATGGGATCGGAGTGGAAAAAATAAAAAGCGAGGGAGGGGGGTTATAAGGGATTAGCAATATGCCACTTTCATATAAGTTACCCTAATACTGAACTTTAGTTGTGCAGAAAATGCCATTTTCAATGCACGAATTTTCAAAAATCTCCCACCGTGGGAGGGGGGATACCCCACTCACACACCTACCCCTCGGTCGCTTCGCTCCCTCGCCTTGCCCCCCTGTTTCCAATTGCTGGCTACGCAACTGTTACTACCATCTGTCCATCATTCGCCAGTCCCTTTCTCGGTATGCTCTCCAGTTACTGCACCGTTTCCCCTTTCTCTGCATTGTCCAGCTCATTTCAACTAATTTTCTCCTGACCCTCCTGCGATATTCAAAGATTCCCATCCACATTTCGACGCTGCGCGTCTCAATTCGGCACCTTTCGGTGTTTAGTGTATGCGAGTGGTGCCATTAGTCTAGACTGGTACCCGGTCCCATCTATCGGCTTAGGAGTAATCGAGTAATCGAGGTGGGAGCGAGTACCAGTCTACCATTAGTGAAGATCGAAGATGGCGATCAAATATATGAGCGCAGAACAATTGGAGGGGTTTGATGTATATAAAGTGAGTAGTAGTATATTACTATCTTTACGCTTATGAGATTTAAAGAGTAATTTGGCGTTTCAATGGGTTTTTATAGATGTTGTGTGTATTCGTATTGAAATAGCTATGTTAAATGTATCTGCAAAAAGCTCCGGTTCACCCACCCTGAATAAGTGAATGTGTATTGCCTATTGCCATTGGCAGTATTGCCTTGGCAGTATTGCCTTGGCATAGCCTTACCCTTAGCTTAGCCTTATAATTAGGCAGTACTACTACTAGTAGTTGATACTTTATAAAGTATAATACTACTACAACTGCTATTTAATGATATATGGGAGTATGGTTAATCAGTTAGCCTTTTGTATCTATAAAGTGTGAGTTGATTGACAAATTTTCATCAAAAAATACATGATGATCATTGTCATTGCCATTGGATCACAAGATAACACAATTTCACAATAGACTTGAGTGATTGAGTCGTACACAACTTAGATCATGCGGCCGTTTGTTTTCAAAAACGTTTGATGGTAAATGATCTACTTGTTCACGAGGCAAAATCTTTATCTCAGGCATGCTACTGCTAGCTCCATTTGCTCAGCCAAATTCTCGAGGTGATTTGACCGTTTGATCAACATTGGCTTCTCTCCTACATTGTTACAGCCATTTAGAATCCCAAGAATATAACATCATAACCTCATAAATATTAGTCTTCAAACGTCCTAGGGACTATTTAACGAAGATGGAGAGAGAAGTGGATCAAATCGATAGATCAACACTGCGGATTGCTGTGCCTCATAATGATTGCAGAACCTCATAATGATTAGTCTTCAAAGTCCAATGGACTGCGTCGAAGATTGGGAGAGGCAAAGTTGATCAAATAGAAAGATCAACGCTGTAGATTTCTGTGGGAAAACTTAATTTTTACAGTTAACCAAAGAAAAGTGTTGTTTAGGGGATTATGTGGTTATTTGGTAACAAATGAATATATTGGAGTTAGTCATGTTTGGCACCTGTCTCGGTGTGTAAACCGTATTTGCATCTCATTTCAGTATAGCTGTGTGGATACATCACCGCTCAGCAAGTATGTTATGCACCCATTCTGGAACCTTACTGTGAAGGCAAGTATAAGTGTTTAAATAGGCACTTGCACGCTCAGGACTTATATGATGCAAAGCAACTAATCAAACGGCCACAAATCTAAGATCAGCCATCCCTAGACAGAGAAAAATTAAATAAGGTTTTAATATACCAGGATTGTATATATTTTATATAATGTGTGAATTCCGTGGAGATAGATGTTAATTTGTTCTGGAGGATATAGTAAATTCACCTTCATTTTCGATTATCGTTGGTAAAACCTGGAACTTTCTCCTTCTACGTGAACTATATTGTACACTATGTTTTTGGTTAACATTTTCACAAGTGTACAAAGATGTTGTTGATTTTTTTCACACTATTCTCCATAGATAATCTCTAGATGTAGAATAGTGTGTGAAAAAACAACAACATTTTTCTTAAGTTCTTGGTGATGATGGCATTCATGGTGGTGGAGATGGCGATGACAGTGATGATGGTGAATTGTCTACAATTTGACAAAATAGTATTTACCCGTTGAGGTTATACTAAATTATATAACTATACTTATACTACTATAATATATTACATTGGACTGGAGTCTATGGAGAATGCATGTTCTCTGGCCTTCAGACACGTTTACATTGATCATTCACAAACACAAAGGCATTTATAAACTCCATGTATTTGTTGGTCGGCTTCTTGTGGACAATACATCCTCGTTGATGGAGGAATTTCAACAATTGATCCAGGTCACCAGCGCAGCTAGAACTATTGCCCACCATCGTGCCGGTTGTTTACACTCAGGGTTTCTTCTGAGGGAAAATTAGACAACGGAGGTAATGGCCAGTTTGGGGAAAAAATGCGCATAATGGATTCAAAGGCGTGTGTTTGCACGTCTCGAGGACCTAGCAAACCGAGCACCGCAGAAGCTCGCCCAGAAATGTTTTGAACAAATGGTGCAATTTGCTTCATTCTAAGCTATTCTGAACACATTGTATGACTCTTGAATCTCTTTTTCAAGTTGTCAAAAGGAACAAAAAACTATGAATATGAAATGATACAAGTATTCACATTAAATAGTAATACCGTCATGAAATGAAATGCGATTTTATTTCAACGAATGCACTTTCCTGGAGTATAATACAAACCAACACCCATGCGTATGGGTATAGCACCCTTAATTCGCTGCTGGAGTCAACATGGCGACTGTGGCACTCAAGTACGTGACCAATCATCTTCCTAACCTGTGTTTATCTATAGGCCTTGCTAAGATTCGCGTGTTGACAGTATCGTAAGTACGCAGCGTTGTGTTTTACGTTTGAAGCTTTATTTCGATTTTAGTACAATAAAGTGTAGTTTATTGATGGAGGAACACTGATTTTCGTCAGCGAGGCGGTGTTTTTGACAAAATTCTGTGTCGCGGCTGAGAATTTGAGCGAGGCGCGTGTCAATGCAAGGGAAACACTGTATTTATTTTTGGGTTGACACTATTTTGACAATGGCAGGTAAATACAGGAACATTTTCACAACGGCGATGTTAAATTTGACAACGGCGGTACGCCAAGTGCTGTGCCTCTTATGTAGAAGAAACCCTGTACACTGCACTCGGCTGCTAGCTAGCTAGCTCGGTTTGTTCGTTCAATCGGCCCGTGCGTGTGGGCGCGCGGGGTCGCCCGGTGCTCGGCAGTGTCGCGGCTCGTGAGGATTGCGCGCGACTGCCGGCCCTGCGGCACGCGCGGGGAAATGGATCGACATTTTTTGGAAATGCCTGAAAGCGTTACGGCCAGCGCATTGAACCCCCCCCTAAGCGTACGCGTTTGTACGTTTTGTAAAATGTGATTAATTGTTGAACGGACCCCTTAACTAAGCCTTTTATTTGATATTTTAGTCGTTTAACCTATGTTGAAAATTATTGCAATGTTTTTTTTTCAATCATGACGCTCATGTAATTCATATTGTCAATCATGCAGCAAGTTTTACATCACATTTATTTTTGCATGAGATATTTAATTAGTTGAAATACAATTAACAGTAAATGTTTCATTTACTTACTACATTTTGGGTGCAACTATCTCGATCATTTCGTGTAAGCTGTAAGCTTTGTAAAATACTAACTTCAGAATAAGCAGGCATGTATAAAACACATATCAAATGATTCTATATATATATAACCATCTTCCCTTGCTGTTTGTATTTCACATATCAACTAAAATATATATATGTAATTTTGACTTCCAATTGGATTATTTATAAAACTAATCATAATCCCTATAAAACTTTCTGGTGATAATACTTCATGGTTTTCACAAGTATTCCCAAAAACGCTATTTCTTGCTGTACTGTTTATCAACTCATGTGGTTAGTGGTAGCTTACTAAATGCCTCTAGTATGAGGACAGGCGAACCCTCTTGAAAAATATCCACTTGGCTCAGGTTGATGAAAGAAAAGCACTCATGCATGTTCCGCAAGCTTATCATATAGACATGTGAGACCACCCATGTTGGTCAAGATCACAATTTCCTGCAACCTCCAGGCAAGATATTTTTCACCTACATTACCTGGGCGGGAAATCAACGGAAGAGAGATTCTGTTAGTTGGGGTGCATACAGTACCTTTGCGCAGTTAACACGGCAACGAGTGCGCATTTTTTCTTCTTCTCGAGAGAGAGAGAGAGATGACGATTTATTTCCCTGTAATGTGCAGATTCTGCCGCACTGGCTCGCTCCGAATCTGATGACATTCACGGGATTCCTGCTGCTCGTTGTAAACTTCGTAGTGCTGTCCTACTATGACTTCCACTTCTTTGCGAGTAGCGACTACAACCCAGACTACCTGCCTGTGCCTGGCTGGGTGTGGCTCTTCTGCGCCTTCACTAACTTCTTTGCGCACACGTTAGGTGAGTGATTGAACTGACTACAGCGATGCGATTTGAGCGAGCATGTGTTCTGCTGTGTTCGGAATGTGTGTGCCCAGCTGTTTATTGACACTAAAAGTCGCTAGGCCGGAAGGTCGTGGGGGAAGGGGCGGGGAGCGTTGTGGCGTCGTTGCATTTTTTGGCGTTAATTAAATTTTAAAACCACACAGCTATTTAAAAGGTAATTTATTTATGAAACTGGCATGGTAAAACCACTAAATTCAAATAGCTGTGTGTAGATTGCAGTTATTTGGTAATACAGGTCTGTACCTCCTAACTCTGCTTCTATATATACATGTATATATGTGTATATATATATATTCATCAGGAGTAGATAATAGGGAAGGAGTGTGACTTCAATAAACAAAGGAAATTCGTCATTTACTAGCCTTATAATACCTACGATTTACTACGCGTAACTCATCCAACTTGATCCCAAATCGTACACAGTACATTCGCCTAGCATCGTGCGAAATCGTTTCCTCGTATACACCCGCAATCCGGAGATACAGACTAAAACGTACGACACGATTTTCCATTCTGTTGCCAGCAAACTCGATGCGTTCGGAGACTTATTTGAAACAAAAGCTAGCTACTAACCACAGCTTGCTCTCTCGGCCAAGCGGTGTGGCTCGAGGGAGATTGGACATCGATGCAACACTCGGCGAGATAACCTTTGACCCGGCATACAGCTACATACTGGCATACCGGCATACCGGCATACAGTTGATATGCCCCCCACGCACGCACGTTCACCGCAATCAGCAGCAGCTGATCTCCAGAGCTCCAATCTCCCTGCGAGCCACACCGCCTGGCCGAGAGAGCAAGCTGTGGTTAGTAGCTGCCTTTTGTTTCAAATAAGTCTTTGAACGCATCGAGTTTGCTGGCAACAGAATGGAAAATCGTGTCGTACGTTTTAGTCCGTATCTCCGGATTGCGGGTGTATACGAGGAAAACGATTTCGCACGATGCTAGGCGAATGTACTGTGTACGATTTGAGCTCAAGTTGGATGAGTTACGCATAGTAAATCGTAGGTATTATAAGGTTAGAAAATGACGAATTTCCCTTGTTTATTCAAGTCGCACTCCTTCCCTATTATCTACTCCTGATATTCATATATATGTTCTATATGTATGTGCTAGTGATGTCCCGATGATAGATTATCATCGAAAATCGATCGATTATAGTCTCAAATTCGATAATCGATTATGAAAACAAATAATCGAATATTGGAAATACCAAAACAAACAAACAAGGAACTGTACTCACGATGTGTGAATTGATATGACAAGTAGAGCACAAGTAGAACATAGGTCCTGTCTGATTGCAGAACTGTACTAGTCTACTTATAGACATGGACAAATTGGACAGTGTTTTTGTTTTGGTTTGACACTGTCCCACAGATGTTATCCGTAGATGAGATTCTACTCTCCGTATTGTTTGTTACATTGTGTTGGAGAGGATATTCCATTGGCAGGACATTAACTCGGCTACACAGCCTTAAACTATTAGAACACAAACAACTTACTTACTAGAATAAAGAACAAGTCTTGATCATGTTTGTTTATAACTTTTAATGTTTTAATAAAGGCATTTAAACCATTTCTTTTTAAATTGATTAAATACTGTATAGGAACAGACATTGATATACATACAGCAACCTTCACAGAGTTAATACATGATCATAAAACATGATAATATTGAATGCTATGTATAATTGTATATATACAAAGTAAGATTAAATTAAATCTATGCTATTATTAACCGATTATTCGATTATAATCCATTATCGATCGGTTGAGGGAAACCGATAATCGATTATGAAATTCCAGCCGATTCCCATCACTAGTATGTGCATACATATACATATATACATATATACATATATACATATATGCATATATATACATATATCTGTGTGCATGTGTGTTGTGGTTATAATTTCTGGGATGGTATTCCTGCGGAAGTTACAATTCACCGTTTTTCCAATCGTCTGCGTTCAGATGGCTGTGATGGGAAGCAGGCGAGACGCACTCAGTCGAGCAGTCCTCTAGGAGAGCTGTTCGATCATGGCGTAGACAGCTGGGCAACCTCCTTCCTCCCCATCGCACTGTACTCCGTGTACGGGCGCGCAGACGGGGGCATGATACCATTACGGTAGGTGCCGTCACGCCGGGGAGCGGGCGGGGACATGATACCATTACGGTAGGTGCTGTCACGCCGGGGAGCGGACGGGGACATGATACCATTACGGTAGGTGCTGTCACGCCGGGGAGCGGACGGGGACATGATACCATTACGGTAGGTGCCGTCATGCCGGGGAGCGGACGGGGACATGATACCATTACGGTAGGTGCCGTCATGCCGGGGAGCGGACGGGGACATGATACCATTACGGTAGGTGCCGTCATGCCGGGGACGTGTCCTCGATCGGCAGTGACAAGGGAAGGGAGGCACTCACCTCAAGAGGTTCATGTCTGACGCTCATCCGTGCTTCTGCCCTCGACTGTCATCTGTGCCCCAGACACTTTTATGCACTATCTTCAAGCGTAAATTGAATGGCCGCATAGAATGTGTCTGGTGCAGCGTTGTATAAAATTCGTGCCAGTTGTAGTTTCTAAGAAATGATATCCCGGTACCGACATTTCATTATATTATCTTCGTATGTTATCGTCTGCAATTCACTTTGCAGGTGCCTCTAGCAATATTTTATAGCTGATGATCTGATACTATGTTCGCGTATTGTTCGATCACCGCATCTTATATTCACCGTGTAGATGTGCAATTTACGCGTACTGCTTAAATATGGTATTTTAATTATTATTGTTGTTTTACTTTCAGAACATATTTTATCATTTGGAGTGTGCAGATAGTATTTATAGCGTCCCACTGGGAGAAGTACATAACAAAGGTTCTCTTCTTGCCGTGGGGCTACGACATTAGTCAAGTGGTGGGTACCAATCGACAGAAACTGACTGCAATTTCAAGCGCGTGTCGGATTTGTTATGTATTTTCGTTAATTTCATTCTATGCAAATTGTGCAACTAAGCAGGACGTGCGTGTTATGATCTCAGCACTTATTCGTTTGTTCGCGTGTGCTTTGCAGGCGATGACGGTGGTGTACGTGATAACATTTGCCAAAGGCTACGAGTTCTGGAAGTTTTCCTTCCATATAGGTCCCGTAGAAGTTACGGTTCCCGGAATCGTTGAAGTTGGTGTCTATAGTAAGTAGTGACATTATAAGAGCATTATTTTCTGCGTGTATTTGTTTTTCTGTGCGAGTTTGTTAATAGCGGTACAATTTTTAAAGACTGTCATTTTTCCTTCCACAGCATTTTCAATTGGACTTAGTCTGAGCCAGACGCTATGGAACATATACAAGTAGGTAACATTTGCGAATTTGTTAAAAGCCTATATTTATGCCATGTTTTTTCCAAAATGTGGTAGTGCTTTGCCAAATATTTTATCATGTTATGGCATAATATTATGGAACATGTGAGCATACCTTACTTGTAGCATGTCCGCAAATTTAAAAAACCAAAAAGACTCGCTCTGTGGATATTATATAACGCACATTGTTTTGTGCATTTCCCTGTGATTCTATCATCACGTGTATTGCAAAGCTAGACAAAACACGGAAATTCTTCCGAACGAGTATTGAAATACATATATGACGGGAACCTAGTCAGTGACCACTAAGTGACCTTGAATATTTGTGAAGAAATCACCAGCAAGCTTGCCATGTAGTCGGCTTTCGTTCTCGTAGCCGCTTCGAGCGAGACATGATGAAATGGGTGTTTTTTTTCCTTCTCAGGGCCTATCGCGATCAGACGGGGAAGATGCTGAGCTTCTATGAAGCCATGATTCCGCTGCTGCCCGTCACCATGCTCTTGATCTTCTCGACGATGTGGGCGTTCCTCTCACCGACCAACATCATGGAGTTGCAGCCGCGCACCTTCTTCTTCTTCACGGGGACGGTCTTCTCCAACATCACGGTAAGTCGCCGCCTCGCGTCGCTGTTGCCGGGGCGACCGTCGTTGTCGCTGATGTCCCGATGGCCCGTATCACCTCCACGTGCTCTCGCGAGGTCGGTCGCGGGTCACGTGATCCGGTCGTACGTGCCTTTCAACTCTGAATTGTACGAGCAGCTCACGTGAGCTATCATTTCATGTAGCCACTTGCTACTGTCGAGATATCTTATCGACTAGGCGTGAAAATCTGTGTTACTCGCCAGTTTTTATCGAGATCGGATTATTATTGTTTTTGCTCTATTACTTTTATCATCTTGCTCTTTAAGCTTTGCACTGTGGCGCGACATGTTGCCTATCTATGAGTAATTCATGGCTAAGACTGACTACATCTGTACTCTACTCTCTATATCTGTAATCTGTATAATCTCTGTAATCTCTGTCTATTTGGTCTCCATTTATCCTACGCATTGGGTTAATGGACGAGCATTTATATATAGTGCAAAATTAGTGGGTTATCTAGCTGGCAATTATTATTCGTAATTGTATTCCCCGCGACGAAGTCGGCGGGGATACTATGGTTTCATGTCTCCCCAGCCGCCGCAGCCGCAGATACTTTCCCTTCCGCTATATAACTCGACCCCTAATGGACCTAGCGCTACCAAACTTGGTATACTTACACATCTTAGGGAGAAGGTGAGCAGCGTACCAAAACCAGCTCACTGCGACCTTTATTTGACCTTTACCTTGACCAGGATCATATTTCCCTTCCACTCTCTAACTCGGCCCTTAATTGACCTAGCGCTACCAAACTTGGTATACTTACACATCTTGGGGAGAAGGTGAGCAGCGTATATATTTCCCTTCCACTCTCTAACTCGGCCCTTAATTGACCTAGCGCTACCAAACTTGGTATACTTACACATCTTGGGGAGAAGGTGAGCAGCGTACCAAAACCAGGTCACTACGACCTTTATTTGATCTTTATCTTGACTTGGTATACTTACACATCTTGGGAAGAAGGTGGGCAGCGTATCAAAACCAGGTCACTACGACCTTTATTTCACCTTTACCTTGACCTTGATCATATTTCTCTTTCGCTCTATAACTCGGCCCCTAATTGACCTGGCGCTACCAAACTTGGTATACTTACACATCTTGGGGAGAAGGTGCGGAGCGTACCAAAACCAGGTCACTACGACCTTTATTTGACCTTTACCTTGACCTTGATTATATTTCCCTTCTGCTCTATAACTCGGGCCACTAATTGACCTAGCGCTACCAAACTTGGTATACTTACACATCTTGGGGAGAAGGTGCACAGCGTACCAAAACCAGGTCACTACAACCTTTATTTGACCTTTACCTTGACCTTGACCTTCATCATATTTCCCTTCCGCTCTATAACTCGGCCCCTAATTGACCTAGCGCTACCAAACTTGGTATACTTACACATCGTGGGGAGAAGGTGTGTCGCGTACCAAAACCCCTAAGGCAACCAATTTTAACATACTTGCACATCTCAGGCAGATGAGTTGTGTAACAAACCTTTGTCTTTGTGACTTATTTAACTTTACCTACCTTCTACGTCCTTACAGAGATATTTCATTCATACTTAACTAGATCACGGGGGATACAGTCCTGTAGTTGGCGACAACTGCTCTTTCTAGTTATATATATGCGTTTTGCAGAACAGTAAATATGAGTTAGTAGTTATGATGTTATTGCTATGTGATATCACACTTGGTAGTTCATAGTTTTAGCTGCAATCGGAGAGGGAGGCTGGTGTGGATATTAGTACAGGAAGCTAGGTGGTTCTATCACATGCACTATCACATTCTATATTTAGTGATCTCTCCAGAAATTTCAAATAACATGTTCTTTATGGACGGAATGGGGGGAGGGCCCAGGAGGGAGTTGTACAAAGTGGTGTCAATTACGAGTGTCTTAAGTGGCCCCGGTACACAAGTAAACCCGATCTGTTCAGAGATGTATCCAACGTACAACAACCTGTTAAAACACAGCATGACCGTGTGGGGATCGTCAAAGGTGGAAACGCGGCTGGAAATTAAAGATGGTCGACTTGGACCGCTTGGTGACGCCACTAGTAACGACGTGACTTCTTCTTGCACGGTTCGTCTGATCGTCGCTCAGATGGCGGGAACGCGCGTGCGGCTATCCGCTTGGTGGCGCCACTAATAATGACGGCTTCTTGCGCAGTGTCGTCTGATCGTCGCTCAGATGGCGGGAACACGGGCCGAGATGTGGAACTGGCTGCTCGTGCCCGTCATGGTTACCGTGACGACGGTCGTCTTCGTGCCGTCGCTCTATGACTGGGAGACCTACATGCTGTATGCGCTCACCGCCGCCGTCACGCTCTGCCACCTCCACTATGGCGTGTTCGTGGTGAGTTTGGCCTGGACGTTGTCGCCGTAGCGGCGTTGGGGCCCGGGGAGCGCGCGGGTGGAAGTGGTGATTAGTGCTGTTTGTATGCGTGCGTGCGTGCGTGCGTGTGCATGTGGTGTGTGTATGTGGTGTGTGGTGTGTGTGGTGCGTGCGTGCGTGCGTGCGTGCGTGTGCATGTGGTGTGTGTATGTGGTGTGTGTATGTGGTGTGTGCGTGCGTGCGTGCGTGCGTGCGTGCGTGCGTGCGTGCGTGCGTGTGGTGTGTGTGTGTGCGTGTGCGTGTACTGCGTTATCAAAATTTTAATCGGAGGCATTGCGAAGATTAGTACTGCTATTTTTCAGTGGCTTCTTTTCTAACCTTTTTTGCACTCTTTGTGTCTGTTCTTGTTGTGTTACCCACTGCACCTATTGTTTCTTCTATCGTATTTCTATCTTTTCTTTTGTTATCTTTGCTTACCACTTCAAGCTGTTGTGCGTAACAACTCGTTTTCCTTTTTCCTCTCCAAGCAGTTCTTTCCTTTTCCAATATTTCTCACCACTGTTACGTCATTGGCTTCACCTCTTACTTGGCTATTTCTTGCAAGCTATCATTTGATTTCGTTATTGGCGGAAATAGGTGGTATAAACATTGGTAGATGACTAGACACGTGTTATCTCCGTTATTGTGCATTGTGTCTGGTGGCGACAAAAGGATCCAACGCCTTACGTTGAAAATGCCAACACGTGTGCGTATATAAATTAAAGCATATATATCAAACGTGCATATAGAGATTATATATTATTCATAATCTCTATTCTGCACTCTGTGATATATATATATTGGTATTATGACTTCGGCACTCCTGTTTCACTACACAGCCTACGCCAGCACCGTTTTCATATGAGTCAGATGGACTTCGGTAGTGGATGGTAGACGATATAATAGGCATGACATATATGACCAGCTGCGACGTTATTACGTGTCAGCGTCGTGGTGCTGTGTTGTGCTTAGCTTGCTGTGTTTCCATGCACGTCGTTCGTTAGTGAGTGAACTTTTGCGAAAGGAGGCTAAACTTGTGAATTTGCCTTCTGGGCATATATAGCGCTATATGCGAAGCTAGTTATTTCGTTTGCGGATTGCTTTATGAGTGTTATTTTGGGTTGAGATACTGAGGATTATGGCAGTGATGTCGGACTGCTAGTTGAATTCGGCCATTGAAAATAATTTTATGGCTACATTGATACGTCAGGTATTCGTGGTGAGAACTTGGCCCAGTTTCTATGTAGGTTTTTTAATGATTGGCCTGCACGAGATTTGGCGATGCTGAACAAGTTTTGTTTAACCATTGGACTAGATGAAATGGAGCAGCAATGTGTTTGGATAATTAATATATATTAAAAGTGTGCGTGTGATACGTGTGTAAATCTATATAGTTATTATATAGTAGGTATATATATATCTATATATATATATATAGTCATATATTATCATCTTATCTTACTATATATATAATAATATACTATCATGAGTTCATGAATAGATCTACCAA